TAACTACTTATAATTGCAAATTACAAATTACTTATGTTGTAAAATAGTAACTTTATTGCTTATTTTAATTATGCATGGAAAGGGACACGATTGCTGAAAAAACTAAAATGACTTTTGTTTATGGAGTAGTCAAAGATATTAATGTTGCCCAAAATTTATACGAACAAAGATTTCTAGACAGACACATCCTATCTTGTGTAAGATCTTCAATAGAGAAGAAGGCGCTACAAGAAATTCAATGTATAAGCTGTTGTTCGTAATAATCCACATATTTCTTCTCGCATAATTTTTTGTGACTCTGCTGTATCCCAACGCAGTGTACTTAGATTTTTACATTGTCATAAATTTCACCAGTACGCTGTTTGCATCAAGAGCTTCAGGAATGATATCCATTATTGGTTACTAGAAAATTGTTATTGGTTACGTGAAATGAATTACTAACGACGTTGGACAGTTAATATATTGGATGGGATTATAGGTAACTTTTCAATTGGCCCTTTCTTCGAAAAACATGCTTCTCAAAAAACATGTACCCTTTAGCGGCCCTTACACGATCAATAGTATTGACAATGTCAGTATTGACAATACAACCATCAATCCTCGTGGTAACCAGTCTCAATCCTTCACTACCTTACACGGTCAATATTATTGTCAATAGTTTTGTCAATCAGTTTGCTCAATAAGTTACCTTTTTACCACGTACAGGGTGAATCTACGTAGTTTTACTCGGTTATTTGCTGGTTTTCCTTTCCAAATAAGGATTGCGTAGCTATTATTTTGGGGCTTGGAACTACTCTTCGACTGAAACGCAAACACTGGATGAAAGAATGGTTGAAGAAGAGAGATGAATATTCTTATCTAGTACTGTTGATAGAAATCAACCTCTGCGATGTTGACGATTTCAAGAACTACTTTTGAATGGATGAAAGTTCCTTTAACAAACTGTTACAGATGGTTGAACCATTTTTGAAAAGACAGGATCGCAATATGAGAGAAAGTACAAGTGTTAGGGAAAGATTAGCCTTAACCCTGAGGTATTTGGCCACAGAAAGAAATGTTGAAGACTTGAAGTTTTCTGTTATAATGTCCCCAGCAACTATCAGCAAAGCTGTAATAGAAATCTGTCAAACCTTTATATATGTCCTACAAGACCAACTGAATGAACTAGATGAGCCAACAGTATCTTCATCGTCTTGAACGTCAACAACGTCAGGTAATAGGGCGGTCATTTTCACCACTTATTCACAGGCGCGCGGCTTGAACTGAACTGAGTGTAATGTAGAAAATAAGAATTAAACCTGTTTTCAAATCATCTGGGTTAACCCTTTAATGGTTAATGGCTTCTATAGAGATCAGTTATCAATAAGGTCAAATAGCTGCATTACCACAACTAAATAGTTTCTAAAAACGAAAAAATACTTTGCCCTTTAAAGGGTAAAATAACATGTTTTTCAGTGTGTTGATAGACATGTTTCGTTATTGTTACAATTAAATAAAAGTAGGTATTTAATTTTGAATGTTGAATTTATTACACTGAGTATTGATGGAAATATTGGCGCCAAACCTACACGGTCAATAGTATTATCAATATCCCCTCCAATTTTCAGTATTGATGCCCGAAAATCAAAAAATCCGGATTTTTATCAATACTCCATCAATATTTACCGTCACTAAAATTTTTTACCTTACACTGTCAATATGAAAAATATTGATGGCGCTTCTAAAATGCCATAAAAAATCGTTCAAAATACTTTCCCCCTTTATACGATGGAAGTTTTATGAAACTTTTTTGATAAAATTGATGTTTTATGAGTTATTATTTGGTAGTCTCAATTTCAATGCCTTACTCAGTATATGAAATATAGTCTTTTAAAAAAACTTCTTAAAAAGATTCAACGCAGTTGGCGTCCTCTTATAAAACCAGTTCATACACCTACTTAAAAAATTTGGCAGACGAATAGTCTCAACAATTCGGTATTATTCTTGAAGGACACATTATCGATTTTTCTCTATGCAAGAAATACTAAAATATATGCAACTTATTTTACGATTTTCGTAGTAATACATTAGGGCGCGTATAGTAAAATTTAAATTTTGATGAATGGCGACACATAAGTCACCCTGCCATCTAGGCATAACGACCACGAACTACATTCTCAAGTCTGGCGAGAAAATGGAAGCAACCTGTTGCTTTCTATTTTACCCATAAGGCTGTGAATCAGTATATACTAAAATCACGATGACGCGAGAGATGCTAATTTTTATTTGAAATACCCTGAATCCTCTTTCATCAACCTTATTTCTGTTATGAAAGATAATATCTTTCATAACATTCCTAATATTATCCGTCATTCCAATATTCTTTCCCAGATATCCTACACTGATTCTCTTCAACATTATTGTCCTCATCAAACACCTCATATTCCTGGTCCTCCGCCATTTCGTAAACCTTGTCAACAAAAAGTTACGCAATTCCGCGAATACTGTGAATGATACAGTTGAAAATTTCATTAAAATTTCATCGTAGTTCTCAATTCTTCAACATGTTATTCATCAACTTCTTCAATTCATCAACTTGTTATTAATGCTCTGTTATTATTATGTTCTGTTACAACTTTCAACTTCTTGTTGATTGATCATGACATCCTAAATGCCAAGCGCTTTTTTATTAGTGCTATATATACGCTTTTTGTTTCCGCTCTGTTATAATTAAGGCTTCTTATAGCTTTAAACTTGTTTCTGAAAAAAGGAGTAACATGACATCCTAAACGTTAAACGCTTTTTATTAATGCTCTGTTATTATTATGTTCTGTTATTACTTTCAACTTCTTGTTGATGGTAGTAGTATCATGATATCCTAAAAGTGAAGCGCTTTTTTATTAGTGCTTTTTAAAAAAATAAATATAATCCTCAACGAAATCTTTTACTGTTCTAAATATTTAAGAAATACTAAAATTTATTTAATTTCTTTACCTAAGAATATAACTTTGGAATTTTTGTACTAGAGAGACGCAGGTACTGAAACCAGTCCCTTTTTACACACTAACTAAAATGTATTTATTCTATTTCTTTACGTAAGAATATAACTGTTTAATTTTGGTACTAGAAAGACGCAGGTATTGAAACCAGCCTGTTTTTACATCCCATAACAAAAAAGGTTTATTTTACCACTTTGTTTTTCTAAAAGTCAAGAGGTTTTTGAAACATTCCTTTCTCGAGTTGTCTTGGGTGAACATCGTGCACAGAGATAATTTTCGTTGTTAAAGTAAAGTTTAGTGGAAGTTAGTGTTAATTTAGTGTTTACGTGTGTATAGTTAGTAGTTATTTAAGTTTGAGATAGTGACTTTTTAAGAATTATGGTGAAAACAAGAAAATCACCTTCAAAGGTGTTGTCAAAACAACGACAGTTTTTGATAAATAAAGCAGGAAACAAGTAAGTTCGAATTTCGAATATTTATGTAAATAAAATATAATATAATTTTCTTTATTTTCGGCTCAACCGGTTTCGACTATTCTTTTTTAGTCATCTTCAGGAACAATAGCCACCTAATATATAATTCAAAAATCAAATTAAAACTAAATTAAAAATTACAGAATAAAATTTTGTTCTTTAGAAAACACATGTTTTTTATGTTATTTCAAAAGTATTAACTTACGTCAGTTTCACTCTTAATTTTCATAGTCTGAATTCATCTCTTCTTTTATTTACGTTTTCTTGAATTCTTTGTTATTAAATGATGTTAAAATTGTTTCTAATTTTATGTTTTTTCTTATTTTCTAGATCACGTTAATCTTGTTAGTCTTTACAATGGTTGTTTTATTTTT